GGAAAAAAACAGTTAAAAAAAGCATAAAGCGCGTACCCTTAACCAACAAGACCCGATTTATAATGGATGAGCTGAGTTTGACAGTTATTTTACTGGTTCTGGCCCATTTGGGATCATCATTTTCTTCCATGCCTTTCATAAAAGGGATATCGAATCAGTCACCCACAAAACTTTTCCCTACAATGTGCTACAACACATTCTTGCCGTGTATTGAAAATATCTCTCGATAATGATTGAATTCCATAAAAGGCATGTGATTTACAGCCATTAAATGTCTCATTTGCATTCATTGCTCGTGTGAAACTAAATGATGAATCCCACAATCAAATTCAGCTAATTTGATCTCGACTTGATTGTGACTGACATTCCTTTGGACCGTTAATTTGACAATAAACATGTTAGTGGCCATTTGGGAGGGCTGAAGACTTGAAGTGTAGCGGTTTTTGGCTTTCTCCAATGTACACAGATATCTATAAGTTATAAGTTGTACTTGATGAAAAATCCAAAAAGCTTCAAAGCACCTGAACCAGTTTATAGCTGATCTTAAACTCAGCACTTCCTCTTACTTGGATTGGATTGACCTATTCGTAATGCCAACAGAATTTTAAGATCAGGTTGGGTTAGTATGAACCTGCTGACCCAACCCAAACCCATGAAAAACCTAATACATATACAGTGAATCCACTTGATGCAGCCTTCTTCTTCTTTTGGGTAAAATACAAAATCCTAATATTTCCTATAATTTTATTTTAACAAATACCGCCCCTGAACTTTTGAGAAACTCGATAAAAACATCCTTTCCGTCATCTTTACAGATGGAAAACATTAGACTGATGCACTAGTTTTTTCAAATACTCATTCTACCCTTTTATAAATTATTTTACATACAAAAATACTGAAATAACCCTATTTTAATTCAATAAAAACATTAGAAGATGGTTGTTGAAAGAGGTTTTTGTCAAATTAAAATAGGGTTATTTCAGTAATTTTGTATGTAAAATAATTTATAAAAGGGTATAATGGGTATTTGAAAAAAATGGTGCATGGGAGGTATTTGTTAAAATGAAACTATAGGGAAGGTTTGTATGATTGTTAGAAACTTCAGATGAGGTTTTTGTTTTTTACCCTTTTTTTGGTTTAAGTGGGGGGAGGGGTGAAAAGAGTAAGGTAGCAAACAGCATTTGCTTATCAAAATCCAAATTCATATTTGACTCGGTTAAGGCTGATATGAATTCAATCCATTTATAATTAGAACAAATGATAACCGACCCTATAATTGACAAAATCCCATTGGTTTCTATTTAAACTAGTGAATGACCCGTACCAAGTATGGGGAATCAGTAATGTTAAATTTATATTATTGAATTAATAATGTTAAATTTTTATTTATTAATATTTTAAATAATTATTAAAATTTCAATAAATATTTATTTCAAAAAATCTTTTTAATAATTATTAGAATATGGATAGTTTTATTTTGTTATGGTACTTAAAGGGTTAATGAATAATTGAAATTGATAGAATGCAGGCAGAAGTGGTTGTGGATAACCACTTTTGCATTTTCTGCATTTTTTAGGAATTAATTAAAAATGATGGTAGTGGGTTGTGGGCTTTAACAGCAACTTCATAGAAAATGCCACATGTCTAGCTTTCTAGAAAAATGAAGAGCCCATGTGTTTGAATGGTGGGGGGCTGTAGCTTAGTAGTGGGTTGTGGGATTTAATAGGAATTTCTCAGAAATTACGTGTCTAGCTTTCTAGAAAATGAGAAGGCCACTTGTCTAAACGGTGGTAGTGGGGTATGGGCTTTAACAACTTCTCAAAAAAATGCCATGTATCTAAATTTGAAAAAACCACATGTCTGCATGGTAGGGGCTGTAACCTGAAAGCCTTCCTCATATATATACTTAAAACTTACACTCGTTTTATTAGTAAAGTTGGTTTAGATGTATTGAAGACTTGAAGTTTCATAAATTTTCTTTTAATATATTTTATTCATGATATGCATTATCTTACTTTTGCTCAAAAAAGTCATTTTATTCATTTTATTAATTATATAATATTTGGATTATTTTTAGTTTAGTTTATTAATGTTATTGAATATTTGATTGTAAATTTTATTCAAACTCTAACAAATTTGGATGTGCCTTATATCTTGTTTTATGTAATCCACCTGCAGCCCTACAAAAGAGTTCCAATTATAAATATATAAACCTTTTCCCTCTACCCTTTATCCTAAAATTAGGATTCAGAAATCGATAATGTTAATGGAAAGAGAGAAATAAAAAAACTGAAAAAAAATCAAACTAAATTGTTCAGACCAAATCGAAAATTCTGATTAACTAAACTGGTCAGTTTGGTTTTAATTCGCTATTTTTGAAAATCCGAATCTACCGATTTAGTTTCACTTAACTAATATAAAAAATCAGTGGTTAACCGAATCAACCGCTATATATATTTATACATATTATATACATATATATATATATATATATATATATATATATATATTGCTAATTTGTAGTATATATTTATTTAAAATATAATTTTTCAATTTCTGTTACCAGTTTTCGAAAAATCAATACTACCGATTTGGTTTAGAATTTAGGCCCACGTTTCGGTCCCTACTACGAGGAACATAATAATTTATTATTTTCGTTTCATAGAGAAACAGACAATTTAAGAGAAAAATCTGCCTCCAACATAGCTAAAGTCACAGGAGAGTTGGCGTACAAGAATGTTTGAGAATTGTCGTTTGACATTGAATTAAGATCCTTAGGGAAGGGACACAATCAAAGCGTGGCGGAAACTGAAAATACATTTGTACAAGCAATTGAATCCTTCCATTCCCGCATTTCACATGACATGAGTTGTGTGCTTTACCGTTACGTGGTTGAACAACAATAAGTAAGTAGTATGAGATGATTGTCCAATGCAAGCCCAACCCGGGTCTGCATAGGGGTGCAAATGGATCTGATCCGGTCCAATCTTATTTGGTTGATTTCGGATTACTCCTGGTCGGATCTTCATATTGGATTGGATTCGGATTATTTTCTATCCGATTCAATATATTATATATTTATAAATATGTATATAATATGTTATTTATTTATTTATAAATATATTATATTATTTTTTTTATAAAAAATATGTATATATGATGAAAATATTTAAAAAATACTTATATTTTTTGTTTTTTCTTTATTTAAATTAATATATTTTATTTTTTTATTTTAATAATTTATTAATTTTTAAAGAAACACAAATCAGATTCAAAGATTCGATAGGATTCAAATTCAAATCGAATCCTATCAGACCTGATCGGATTGAATTCAATATAAACAATGTCGGATCGGATCTAAATATACCCTTATTGAATCCAATCCGATTCATTTGCATCCCTAGGTCTGCATCAAAATTTAGTGCGGATTGGGCTTAGGCGAAACTCTGACTTTAGGCCCAAATTTTAAAGGTAGGCCTGCATTGAACTAAAGCCCAGCCCAGGCCGAAAATAGGCAGACAGACATTGAGACACAGACACCAGGGTTCACAGGGCCGAAACTCCATTTTCAATCCTGACGTGCATGCGATGGCATTTGCTTAAAATTGAAAAGCATAAAAAGGGGGAGTAGGGGACACGGGTACAGGTACACAGATTCTCGGAAGGTGCGCAACTTTCAGCCAATTCGCGTGATATTTCACACAAGACAATTTTCATAACAATGACATACCTTGTTGTTTAGGAAAAAGCCTTATGACATCCCCCAGCCCACGTCCCCCTATTTTCTCGCTTTCAAAATTTGTCACCTCTTTGCGTCTTCGGGTAGAGCTAATGTCGGTGGTTTTGATCTGCGTGTCTTCTCCGATGTTTCTATCTGAGTTTTTCGGTGAATGAATTTTTTTTGGAATAAAAGAAGTGGGGAGAATGACTTTTCAGCCCACCTCTAGATTTTTTAGTCCCACCATATAGTTGGATAGGTGTCATGCCAATATACGGGCATATAATATACCGGCATATATTGGTGTTTAGGTGGGGTGCTTCACATTTTCAATTGTTGTAGGTTTGTGAGGTGGGGTGTAGTGTATTTTTTTGAAAAAATTGTCTCTTTTTATCTATATAGAATACAGAAATTAATAAATCCATGTAACAATGCTTTATGTATGGATACGACATGATTTTGGACCCACCTGGCATGACGGGTTACTGCAGTACGGCCTGGCCTGGCCTGGCCCGGTTGGGTATATATAATATGTATATATTATATAATATATTGATATATATAATTTTTTTATTATATTATACTATTTTATTATTGTATATATTAAAATTCATATAAAATAAAATTTTAAGATATTTTTAATTTTTTGTCCATTTTTAATTTATGTTAAATTTTCATTATTTTTTCTCAAAATTTGTAAAAAATATGACTTGACCCAACCCACAGCCTGGCCAGGCCCATGGTTCGACCAGTGGACCAGCCCGGTCTGTGGCATGACATAGGCTCGCACGGGCTCAAGCCATGGGCCATGCCTATAGCCGACCCCTCAAAGTATCAGGGAGAGAAGCACAGCCCGCATTTTGCATGGGCCTCACGCAAGCCGTGCTATGCCGGTTCAATACGGCCGGATTTACGCCTCTATGTACGGGTAGCTCGCTTTTTAAGCCTCGGTAGAAATGGTGGGGACGTGGTTACATGGGAACATCATCATTACTCAGACTATGTTGGTTGGAGAAACAGCATAAAGAAGAATATGAAAGAATGGAGATAAAGATAGTGATGAGAAACTTAAAAGCAAGGTCATAAAGAATTATGACCAAACTTTTTTGACGACGAGCAACAGTACTACCACCACCCATGAATGATTGTAGGTTTCAGGAGAGATGGTGTTAGAAAAAATAATAGACAGCCCCACGAGTCCCCCACTGAGCACTGGGCACTCTCCCCGTCAAGTTGCAGAGAATGTTGTTGTTTACTTGAAGATAATTTGCAGAGGGTTAACTAAACACTAAACAGGAAATATAGATTGAAGAACCCAAATTATAAAATCTATACTAAAGACACATACAGGCATAATAATGAAAGATTAATTAAAAAAAAAAGAGAAAAGAAAAGGAAAAATCAAAGCCCATTTCATTTAATCTCGATCCATGGAACTCTGATGGAACATGGGTTTCTTGTTAGCTGGTCTGATTGTTGAAGGGGAAAGAAGACAGTGGTAGTACTTGTGACGAACTTGAATGGCTCTGTGGTAAATGATGATGGTGAGGAATCTCCTTTTCTTTGTTCTTACCAACAAAGATTGTGATAAAAGATCTTTCTTCCTCATCTGTGACGGTTGATGGAGTAGGAGCTTTCATCACGTCATCCTGAACAGGCCCAGCATTTTTCTGGGTCCTTTTCTCAGCTTCTTCCATCAGTTTTCTTCTGTACAATTTTTCCTCTGCATCCTTCAAGAACTTGAATTTTGGAGGAGGGGAAGACCTTATCCTATTCAACTCTGCATCTATTGATGCTTCGAAGAGAGGATTGAACCCATGGTGGTTATAACGGTCCATAGGGGTTAGAGGAGGAGCGAAAAGGGGCGGAGAAGACAGAGGAGTCAAAAATGGAGTCTCCAGTGTAAGGAGATCACTCAAACTCCTACTTCTTGATCCTTTCCGGCTTTTATCACTTCTAGACCTTCCGTCTTCAGACTCCAAATCCTCTGCTGTCTCTTCTTTGATGGTGAAGAGGAATCTTGGGGGGCCTGAGAGATTGTGCAACCTCATGAGCTCCGTTTCCATGCCGTCCTCTCCAAAAGATTTTAGCAAAAAATCCTTGTTTGAGCCTGAATGTAAGTGAACTTGATTCTCTGATTCATGGGCATGGGCATCAGTGATTCTCACAGTAGTCCAAAGTTCTTGTGGGTTCAGAGCCGTGGAGCTCAACAAAGATGGTTTCTTACAGCAGAATAGATAGAAAAGTTCTCTCACGGAGTTGCTATAATCATCTTCAATTTCTCTGTTGGTGGTTCTCTTCTTCCACCATAACAAGTAGTAAAGCTCTGCAACGAGAGCTAAGAGAAGACAGCCGAAAACCAGACTAAGACCGATTCCTAAACTGCTCAAAGATCTCATATTTGGCTAAATCACAGTCACCAAAACCCTCATCTTCCTTGAAAACCAATAATGTATCCCGACTTCGCCTGAAGATCGCAAAGACCAAAAAACCACATACCTGCTAAAACAGCCGAAAGATCCAAGCTTTTATTGAAAATTACATTCTTCTAAAGACCACATGTCCTGATTATAATGCTCAAAGATCCTACCTTTTGCCTGAAACCCATATCAACAATATCACCCATCTTTGCCAAAAACCTCAGTATCTCACCTCATAGGCCAAAATGCAAACATCTAGAGGGGGATGGGTGGATGAGGATTGAGGAGAGAGATCCTCTAACGCTGAAGAAGAATCTCATCTTTTACTTGAAAACCACTACTCCTGCAAAAATGCTTCATTCCAGAAACCAGCTACAATAATGGGTGGGGCAGAGAGCCAGAGATCGGCAAGGCCTTTCAATTTTTTTGTATGGTTAGAGAGTCGCATCTCGCTTACTTCGAGGGCTGCTCACATGGGTGCAAGGTAAGGAAAAGGAAAAGGGCTATGTCATTTATTGAAAATTGAAATTGCAATTCTGCTCTCAAACAGAAAAAAAAAAAAAAAACTGGAAAAATGAAAACCAGTGCTCATTTCTCTGCCAGGCCAATGATGCCTAATGGAGATATCAATCACGTCGACAGCAGAACTGTTATTATATACTCCCGATAATACAATAATAACGATCTCACAATAATCAAAGTTGTTAATTCGGATGACCCTAATGTCATGTCCTTAAGAGCATTGGATTCCCTGAAACTTTGATAGGTCAGAGAGAGAGGAAGTTTCTGCTGTTTCTACTTGGTTAGGGTCTGCCGTGAACAACGCTATAAGCCAACGATATGTTGCTGTGTTAACCATCAGCATGACTTGTGTGAATTTGGGACCTAATGTTAGGGTACAGTTGTCTGTTGTCCACCGCTGATAAACAACGCATCGTTGGTCTTACAGCGATTTGGATTTTGGACTCGTTTCCATTTTCTAGTTAACTTCTGCGAGATATACGAGTCCACTTCCACTATAATGGACTTGGACTGAGCTCGAAAATTGTGGGCCTTTGGAAGCGGCACAGTGCTAGGGCCTAGGGGGCAATATTTTTGGCTCCTACCATAGTCAGAAATAGACCTGTTCATGGGCCGGGTAGCCTGATGGCCCGGTCCATACCCCGGTAAGACTTGGTCATGTAATTAGGTCCATGGGCCTAATACAGTAAGTCCGACCGTGTTTCGGGCCGGGCTCAGGATTTGTCAAAAAAGTCCGGCCCGGCCCGACTCAGTATTATATATTATATAAAATATATAATATGTATTTTATATATTATATAAAATATATAAATAATATAATATTTATTTATAATTTAATATATACATTTTTATTTTTTTCTTTATAATTTCTCTCTCTCTCTCTATCTATCTATCTATATATATATATTCAGCCGCTAATAGTATGGGTTAAATTTCGGGCTCGGGCCCAGGCCTGGGCTTTTTATGAGGGCCGGGCTCGGGTTCGAGCCTTAGAAAATTCTGTTAATACAGAGTGAAAGCCCAGCCCGAGCCTGGCCTGGCCCGGCCCATGAACAGGTCTAGTCAGAATGTCAGATGACTCATTCCAAAGCGAGTTCACATCTGTGCCCCACTAGGGGCGCCCCACAATGTCCTACAGCGCATCCCTGCCGTGTATTGAAAATATCTCCTGACGATAATATCAAACCTGATGATATCATCATCGGGAGATGTTTCCAATATAAGGCAGAGATGCATTGTGGGACGTTGTGGGTGCCCCATCGTGGAGCACAGATCTGAACTCGATCAAAGCGCCCAATCACCTTTTCATTTTCAGATCTAAACCCTAAACCTCTACACCTTAAATTATAGGATAAACCCTGAAATCTAAACATTAAACCGTTAAATCCTAAATCCTAAAATCTTAAACCCTTAAATCTTAACACTCTAAACCTTAAATCCTAAAATCTAAATTTTAAACCCTTAAATCTTAAATTCTAAACCCCTAGACTTCTAGTTATTGAATAAAATGTCTCTGTTCAGATGTTTGTCCTCCAAGTAGATAGAATCCAATGGTGGTGTTAGTAGTTAGGTGTCTTAAAATATGCCCACTTGCCCAGCCTTATAGTGTTGAATTTGAATTGACTTGGGTAGATTATTCTAAACACGAACCCAACCTTTTAAACAAGCTAATGGATCACGATCTCGTATTCAGTGCGTGACAATTATATATATTGAATCAAAACAATGCTGATCATTTAAAGGTTGGTCCATATAGAAAAAATTAAAAGTGCTACATTTCAAAAGAAGTAAGCCTTTATCCATGATAATAATTGTTTAAGCAATACATAATTATATAATTAATTATTTTAATAATACACTACTCGTCACTGTACTGAATGAAAGCCCAATTCAAACTAAGATGTAATTTGTACAGTACATGATATTTATAGTATTCAAATTCTCAAACCAACAAACAATTGCAAGGAATTAATGAGAGATAATGAAAATCAAATTATTGTAGAATTACTTAATTTAATAATTTTCTAAACGTGCAAAACAACTTGATTTTATACAGATCTTATTCCAAGCTAACATGGCCTATTAGGATCTCTATTTTTGGTTTTAGTGGTTAACTGTATTCATTTTTTCATTCTACGATTAATTAGTTTTTTGAGTAAAACAATTTTTTTGGCCTTTCAAGCGTGATTAAACTCATAAAAATTATTCAACAGAATAAAATCATGTAGTAAATATATTCATGATTAATATGGACAATATTATACTTTTGGAATTAGGCTACAGCCTACAGTGAGACATATGTCGATGTCCGTTACCTAAATTTAATTGACAAAAGACAATAATTGCTATAATAAATCACCAGTCTAACTATGGGTTTACCCAAAACTGGGTTGGACACTTGGATGGTGGACCATACACCTGCATAGGTCCAAATCCGATCTTTTTTTTTTTTGGATAATAGATCTGGGGTTCAACTTCATTGAACAATGGAGTGAAAATCGCAGAAATACAATGAAATTGAGATACAGTGTATGCGTCTGTTTGAAGTAAGCAAGCAAAGTAGCAACCCAGACTTATCGTGATTGTAGTTTCTTTTCTTGCACTTCCTGCACAAACCAATTATTGTGTGACAGGTTTCTAGAATTAATGTACAACTCAATTCTCCTGATTGGTTGGTTGAAAAACAAACAAAAAAAAAAGGTTTTCACATAAATAGCTTTCAACAAAAAGGTTGAAAAACATAAATTGTTTGGCAAGCACAAAGAAAACATTTTTCATGCCTGCAATAACCATCAACAATGCTGACTTGGTGGGTATTGATTGAGGTTGAGGATTGATAACAGAAGGTAGGAAGGTGGCTTTAACTTTTTGCTGTTGGCCCGTAGGCAAAATCAGATTCCGTCCACACTGGAAACAAGCATAGAGGATTCCTCCAAAAGAGCATTTCAAATAAAAGGAGATCCATGATTTTCAAAATCGGTCCGGATCGGAAAAACCGGGAACTTGTCAGGTGACTGGTTCTATTTTTTATCAAAATCAAATTTTGATCAAAAAAATGTTGATTTGGTCAGCAAACCGCTGACTTGGGTGGTCGAACCATTTGAACCATTCAACAGTTTTGACCGTTTTTTAACTTTTTTAATTTTTTATCAAAATGAACCATTCGACTCGGGAATCGAACCCTTGATCGGTTCATTCCTCGGTTTGTTTTTAAAAACCTTGGAGGGATCCGTCACCAATGCTTAAGAGATTGAGAGACTTAAAGCCTCTTCAGAGTTCAGATAACAGGTGAACCACCTTGTTTCCCTAATGATTGGTGTGACTTATCTTAGCTTCTTCAAAGTGATGAAGGAAGGCCCTACAATTGGCAATTATGGGGGTTGATGAAAGCATGAAAATGTATATCTAAAGTATACTCAATAATTGACATTTGTAAAATAAAGAGCTTAAAAGTAATATTTTTTCATAATAATTTTATAAATGTCAATTTTTATGCTAAAAAAATTAATAATTGAATGAAGAAAAGCCCAAACATAGGTCCAAGAAACCCAATCCCAAGTTCCATGACCCAAGTATGAGTGCTGATTCGTTTCCCGCTTTACTCTGAACAGGGTCCGGTATTTTGGGCATATCTTTCTCTACAGATGTCAAAATTTGATGATTTTTGAAGATATAGACAGCTAAGAGATTAGGCTACAATTCATCTGTTGATAACTTTTTCTAAATCAATCTCTATCAAGGCAAAAAATTGGGGGATAAGATGCAGATTTGGGTGAGCAGATTGAGGAGCCTCGCGGCACAATAAAAAGGAAAAATCTGACTTAAAAGAGGGGACGACTTCCAGAGGTTATTTTGGCATTATTTTCTCAGTCTTTCACAAAAGAGAAGATGAGAGAATGACGTCAAAGCGTGGCTAAAGCTTCAACAAGGCTAGGGAGGATCTTGATCGATGAGTTTTACTTGTTATTTTACTTTAATTCATTGAGAGATTTCAATGTTTAGTTTTGTTCTTGAGAGATTTCTTTTATTATTTTGATAAACCCAGAAGTTATATTCTTCAATTTCCATATAAGATTAGTCATGCACTTTTTATGTGCAATTTGTTAGAAAATAATTGATTGGATAGATTTATTTTATGGGTTGATCATTGATTGCAATACTATCAATCTGATATATTGTCATTCTTGGGTAGCTTGTAAGAATAGATCATTCAGTTCTTCATCGAAAATTAATTCTCTCGGAACAAATACTTTTATTCTTGTCGTTGGCTTCAAAGTTATATTTTTCGATTGTTTGTTTGGGATGTGAAACTTGCAACTGAGTAATAAATAGGAATCAAAGTCGAGACCAGTTAAGCAAATTGATCAAGTGAATCTTGAAGCCTTGTTCATCACAATACTACTTTTCATCTTTTAATCATTGTTACTTTTATTCATATATTTTTGCTCTTATTTTTATTTTTAAAAAATCATTTTTTCTAGGTTATTCACTCTTAGCAATAACTCATTTTGTTGGTTTAATTAGCTTCTCTGTGAATTCGACAGCTAAACCTACGCTTCAATGATCGCTTAGCCAAGGGTTATAATTTTGGGCGAGACATGGGTGTTCTATAGTGTGGATGAGAAATTGGTAGGTGTGGACCAGTCCACACCGCATCCTGTGGCAGGGACCAATCCACACCACATCATAGTCCATAGTTGTTCTAAACTTTGGGCAAATTGTGTAGATTGGACTAGTCCACAACCAAAGTGGCGTTTTGTAGGCGTGGTATGGACTAGTCCACACCACACTTTTTGATTCCATGTATCTCATATACATTTACGAATGATCCCCACCAACGTTTTAAAAAATGACTTGAAAACGGAATTATTCTGGCCACTGGTTCCCGGGTCGACGGTTCGATTTGAACAGACGACCTGTTCTAACAAACAAATTAAAAAAAAAATGAAAATAAAAAATGGTAAAAAACCATTGAATGGGTCAACGAATTGTTGACCTTTTTAATTATTTTTGTCCAAAAATCGGGTTTGGGGTAAAACGCAACCGCTTGATTCGACGGTTCCCGAACGGTCCAACCGTCTAGGCCAACAGCGGTTCGAAAACCTTGACCA